GCCCAGCTGGGAAGGGGATGGAGAGGTGGGTACTGAAGGGCTGCTCGCTCACCGTCACGTCGCACCAGTACTCGCCCCACCTGGTGATGGGCTCCTCTGGCAGCTTCAGCGCATGGGGAGGCACAAAAACCCGCAGCTGAGAAATAAAATGAGGCCCCAGGAGTGAAGGCTGGGGAGCAGGGGCAGCCTGCGGTGAGGCCCCCCCCACCCCCAAGCTCCCCAGCCCCTTAACAGGAGCCCCAGCATGGCGACGGCAGAGCCACCAGGCCCCCGGGGGCTCCTGCCGGCATTGGCCTGGCGTGTGCCATGGGAAGGACCGCAGCCTCATCCCCCGATTTATCATCTTCCCTTCTTAATCCCTTCGAGGTCTTAAACCCTCTGCTGAGCTGCTCTCAGCACGTGCCCTGGCTGAGCCCCAGACCAGCCACGGACGCACTACTGGCTCCTCAAACCCTTTGGTGACATCCCTCCCACCGGGATCTGGGCCCCCATGACTGACTCCCGTGGCTCCGTTCACACATGGGAGCTCCCAGCACCAGCAAAGAGCTCCCAGCCGGTGCAGCGCCGGCTCTGGGCAACCGCTCACGTTTTTGAAGAAGTGGCGAGCCACGATTTCGTTGTTCAGCTCCCACTTGACATTGTTTTTCATGCCCACCTCAAGGCGGCAGCTCTTGAGGAACTTGATGGTCTGTAAAGACGGGGAGAAAGGTGTTGGGGAGTGCGGTGCTCCCGGCACTCCAGGTGGGAAGCCAGCAAGGTCCTGAGGGGCTCAGGCAGGCGAGCAGGGGATGCCGGCGGTATGGGGCTGCCCCGGCCCTCAACCCAGAAGCTCACGCACACATCGGCAGCCGTGCAGACATGCGTGCAGGCAGCTGCCTTCCTGAGCCGCAGCTGGAGGGAAGAGGGTTCCCAGCACCCGGCCAAGAGGCTCCGGCAAAGGCTTGGCGCTTTCAAGGACTCAGGGATTTCTCCAGAATAATGGCAGAGTCGCTGGTGCCCCTCTGCTCACCTTCTCCCCACTCTGGGTTTGGAGTACCTCCAGCTTCCCTTCTTGGCGCAACTGTGAGGAAAAGAGGATTGAGGAGAATAAATGAAAGAAAGGTTCGGCAATGCCGCACACCAGGCAGCCTGCCTGCATGCTGCTGGGGGAAAGGCAGCTTGGTAGAGGCCCGGAGAGCTCTCCTGTCATTGCAAACTCTGCAAAGGAATTTATTAACAAGCGGGGCTCATCGCGGGACCATATTTCTAAGGCGATCAGCAGATCTCACCCCACAAAACCACAAACACGTGGGTGGAGGGAGACAGGAACAGTCCCAAAGAACAACCGACCCTTTTAAACCGAAATCTCTGCTCCCTTTTTTGAAATCTCCTGATTTCAAAGCAGGGACAGGACAAAAACCACCCCAGCCGGGCTAGGAGCAGCCCCTGTGTGCCGACTCACCTTCTTCTCCTCCTCAAACATCTTCCTGTTCTCCGGCGAGGCGTAGACAGCCAGCCCCTGGGGCAGGAGCTTATTACGACCCACCGATTTCTTCACACTGACCACGTCTCCCCGGTTCCCCAAATCTGCAAGGAGAGGAGCAAGAGGTGATGTTAGTGAGGTGTGCACTGGCGATGTGCCAGCCCTGCAGCCCCCACTGCAGCTTTGAGGTTCCATCTGAAGGAAGTTTTAAGAAAAAAAAAAAAAAGGCCCAAAATACCACAAAATTATCGTTCAGGGTTCTGCAACCCTCAATCATCCCACAGCCCAAGGGATGAAATCCTGCTGCCACCGGATCATCGGAAACAGGACCTAACGGGGGGAATCCTCCCCCTTCCCTATGTGGACCAGGGCAAAACAGGACAGAAACCAAATTAACTCTTGCGACCAGTGCCCAGCTCTGCCACAGGAAGGCAAACACCCACGAAAAGCAACATACTCTCCACCGACTGGGTGAGGATCAGCTCCAAATTCGTCTTGGGCAGGTGCTTGGTGTCCTCCACCAGCCTGTAGATGCGGTGCCTGCGGGGGTGCAGGCGGGGCTGCCGCCCCTCTTTGCTGAGCGGGACCTGCCACCATCGCTCCACCACCACCGTCCCCTGGCCGGGAAGGGGGGGGTCAGCCCGGGGCGGGGGGGGGTCAGCCGCGCACCGAGCAACGCGGGAGCTCCCCAGCTGCGAATCCCGCTTCGTCCCAGGGAGTGGCGACAACAACCCCCCCTCCCGGCTCCTGCAGAGCCGCCGGTCACCCCCAGCTCTCCCCATCCGACATGACAGCCGCCTCTCCCATGGGGACAAGGCGGCTGCACCCTCAGGTAACCCCCAACACCTCCCCTCAACCCCCCCGTCCTTTATTAATTGCTCCCTAGATCCATATACCCCATA